GCAACTGCGGAAGTACTTTCATTCATATGACCAGAGATCCACACTTCCTTGCAACAATGACTGAGGCACAGGCAAGAACTTGGAATGCTTTCTCTAATGTGGTGCGGAACTTCTTAGGGAACAAGAAAGCGGACAACTATCAAGAAATTGTGGAAGAGCTGCTCTTGAGTTTACAAGCACTTGGATGCAGAATGAGTATCAAGGTTCACTACTTACACAGTCACTTGGACGAGTTTCCAGAAAATCTGGGAGAAGTGAGCGAGGAGCAAGGGGAGTGCTTTCATCAAGACATTAAAGTAATGGAAGAACGTTACCAAGGTCGATGGGACTCGAACATGATGGCGGACTACTGCTGGAGTTTGATTAGAGACATTCCAGAAGCTGTACATAAGAGATCGGCCAAAAAGAGGAAGTTTATGTAACTGTAACTTGATCTTAATACTTGCACTATTTCTACCGTACATTAATTGTTTTTTTTTCACCCTTCAATGTTACATTTAAATATTATATGTGCATTAACTTTCCAATTTTATATTAACAATTTTTGGTTATAGAAAAATACAAATTATAATGCTGAAAAAATTTATGTATACATGTTTAAACCATCAATTTTGATCCAAAAGTTTACGTTCCCCAGCAAAAGTGCAATATGGTATATCGCAAAAACCTGATGTGATAGACAAAAACCAAAGTCATATTTGGATTCTGCACCCCAAATTTACTTAAAATCCGTTTAAAAACCTTGTGCCAGAAAAATTTTGTTGACCGGTGTTATGCTAGATTAGGTTAGGTTAGATAATATTAGGTTAGGTTAACTTGAACTATATAAACACTTTTTAACACATTTGCCATAACTATGATACCGTAAGTGTCCACTATAAAACAGTGAAATTGCGGCATTTTTAAATTCGTTCTCTATGAAAAATCAGCAGTTGTGAAGTCGTAAATAATTACCAGTTGTATGTATTGTAGGTTAGGTTATTTTTTTTTTTTTTGTGTTTTGGTGTTTTATTCAAATCTGACCTCCATTTTTGTGCAAATAAGTAGCTTCTGTTACAAATGAAACTGTTCATTTTTTTGGCAAAAAATTTGCACAAGAAATGAAGGTCAGATTTTATTAAAAAAACAAAAACACCTATTATCGTATCATAGCTCGACGACAGCCAATGGACAACTATTTGCCATACGTCCTAGCCCAGTTTTTGGAGCTTACCTGCTACTGTGGTGGAGGACTAAATGATTTCCACACTTAGGACACAGTCATGATGCTGGAAGGACACCGTGAACTTGTAATATTTTTATTGCTTCACTGTCGTTCTCATAAACTCGCTGAATAACATTTAGGTATGGGAGAGAACACATCACATGCCATCACGAAAGCCTTAAAAATTTGAAAGTGTGCAGTGGAAAGCTGTTTCAAAATAATTGGCTAGCCAAGTCACATGACACGATACTTGAAAGTCCCTGGTTGTTATGTTGCGAAGAGGAGGAGGAAAGGAGACAAGTGACTCTGGCAACATGGTGGATACAGAACTATACGCATAAAAATTTGTGAAATACTCCGTTAATATTGATTTGCACAAGAAATTATATGAAGTCGGATGTTTCTTTTTTTCTAGTCTTGTGTCTGTAATATATAAAAATTGGAAACCTGCAGAAAACCAATGGACAAATATTCTTGCATACCTCAACTAGATATATTAAGAGACTTTTTGATAGGAACAAAAGTTGTTCCACTCATTGAGGACAGCTTGTAATTTTTACTTTTGGTTAATATATAGGACTAACCCATAAGCGAGCTATTTTTATTACTGTTTATTTTCTTACAATATTTTCATCAGCGAGTTCTGATATGATAATCATTTATTGTGGAAATTGTTCGTTTCATAGGTAATTAGGCACCTAGGCGTGCACTAGTATATATTGCGGTTGGTAATGAGGCCGCGCTTAGCTGAGGCGCTTTTACCGCGCCCGGGTCAGTTTGTTTTTCAACATGTCATGTGAAGGATGTCACCAATCTTACAAGGTCTAATTTGTGAATTTAGGGGTAAAGACAACGAGACCCTTCAATTATTTAAAGATCATGGCATTGTTCCTTTACAAAAAGACTGTCTATTTTCTCACATTATTTTCATCAATGAGTTGTGATATGATAATCATTTATTGTGGAACCCGCCAACACAGTAAATCCCTCAGCCGCCCGGGGTGCATAGCGTCGATGCGGCTGTATCATCTCATGTACAGAAAATGCCTCAAATTTCACCATGCCATAGCAAGTTTTTTGTTTTAATATAGCAGGGGGCAGAGCCCACCAGTAAGGTAGTTAGGTAAGGTTAGGTGACTTAGGTCTGTTCTTCATACCCACAAATGTTAAGTAACGTTTATTTTTTAAATATCAAATTTTTTGCATATTTCCACAAACAACAACAGTGTCCACTATAATATAACAGTGAAAATCAGGTGTTTTCATATTTGTTTTTTCAATCAATTTTGCTCATTGGTTAGTCCTATATAATACCTTACTTTTATACTTTTATCCTCTTCACCACTAATCGACTCGTTAGCCGCTTGGGCGATTGGTCTCGTCTCTGTTACACAATGTTGGCAAGTATTGGGCATGCACTGGCTCCTGAATGTATCTGAACCTGCTCCAGTATTGGTCAAGTATGGTCTTGAAAGAGCTCACACTCGGTGCCATCACAACACTCTCTGGCAGATTGTTCCAAGAGTTCACAACTCTCACTCTGAAAAAGTAACCCCTCACATTTTCAGGACTTGTGGCTTCTTCAACCTTGAGCTGTAGCCCCTCGTGGGGCGAGCGTCCACCAGTTCCAGGTAAGGACACTCGACTGAGTAGTGCCCTTTGAGATGTTTATACACCTCAATTAGGTCGCCCCTTGCCCGTCTGTTGTATAAACTGTGCATCATCTCAGAATGGGGAGGTAGAAACTTGGTTAAATTCAATAGTAATAAAACTCAGTATTTACCAATTACACTTTCCAAATTAGATGATCTCCCACCAATCACATTTCAGGAGGCTATCATTCTGCCAAATTCTAAAATAGACATGCTAGGCCTCACTATTTCCCCTAATATGTCATGGAAGCCACACTCCACAACATTGCTGAAGCTGCCTCCCAAAAGCTGGGAATGCTGTACAGATGCTGTAGCTACTTCTCTCCTCAGCAGTTGCTTCAAGTATATAAGGGATTCATTTGTCCTAACTTGGAGTACTGCTCTCATATCTGGGGTGGCTCTTCTTCTGTCCAACTGTTAGATAGGGTGGAATCAAAGGCATTTCGTCTTATTAACTCTTTTCCTTTAGTTGATAATTAATCTCTCTTCCCTTTCTCTTCGCCACAATGTTGCTTCACTCTCTCTCTTTTACAGGTACTTTAACGGGCAATGTTCAGTGGGTTTGGCATCCTGTATACCGCCGGCTCATAACACACGTCTTGCCCGCGGTGCCCACCATTTCTGTGGATGTCAGTCACACTAGAATAACCCAGTATAGTACTTCCTTCTTTCCTACACAACCAAACTGCGGAATGCTCTGCCTTCTTCTGTGTTTCCACACTCATACTATGTCTCACTTCAAAAAGCTGGTTTTCCGGCATCTTTGTGGTGTAGATTAATATAACCTTTTCATTTTCTATTTTCAATTTCCTTTTATTCTTATTTTTTCGCCCCCTAGGCCCCGATGTGGGTTGATGACCTGCACCCGGGTGGGCTATTCCCCATATATATAAATAAATAAAAAAAACAAAAACAAAAACAAAAAAACAATGCAGGCTCTTAATCTCTCAGGGTAACTGAGGTGCCGAAGTGCTGGCACCAAACTAATCTAACCTAACCTATCCTAATGTAACCTAACCGATTCCCCGGATGACTGAAACTAAAATGATACCGAAACAGTAGTGGATCAAAAGGAAAAAATAATGGATAAAAGGAAAAAATGACTCATGAAAGGAAACTAAAAAAGGTGAATTTATAATTTCACTGTTATTAATATGTATTTCATAATGTTTAAACAATTCTAAGACATTTTTCTTCTATAATATTTCCACCGGAAATTAAGGAATGGGTTACCTGAGTGGGTAGTGAATGTGGAGACGGTGGAAGAGTTTGAAGCAAAATTACATTAATACTGGAAAAATCAAGAACAAGTATATAATTATAGGGCACAAATATCTGCCACACGCAGCCACCGTCTGAGTAGAGACAAGGCTATTAAGCCGGAGTCACAGGCGTGAGCTTCTTCCAGAAGATCATCTATGAGTATCTTTGAGTATTACCTTTGCTCCGTCACAAGTGTCACCATGTCTTGTTTACATCTGGTGGAGGAGGTCTGACACCCGCTCACGCATCGTTCCAGACCTCCGTGTTCGCTTTTTAAGCGTCTACAGCGCATGTGCGGAGTGTGAATTGGGAGTTTCTTATTGGCTATAGCGATAGGAGTATATTTATTGGGCAAAATTTTTTTGTTTTAACCAATGAACAATGAGTGGGTGAGTCGGGAGCAGAGATTTGAGTTGGAAGAGCTGTGCCAACATTGTGAGAATGATTATTTTGTGCCAATTGCAAAGTTACACCAGAAAAATAGTGAAGCAATTTCTATTTTTTTTTTTTTATAAAACACAGTGTATTACCGAATATAGTTCTTTGTCCACAGTGTAATAACCAGTGTACACTGTGTGAAGAACAACATATTTGGCGGAGTCACAATAGTTTTACAGATTACGGTAAGATGTGGGGAATGAAGAATGGGGGTTAGGTTAGTTTTGTTGGTTGGTTAGTATTTTATTTATTTGAAAAAGAAAGAAATGGAAATCAAATTCGATCGAAACTCATCAAAACCATAGGAAAAACCTATTTTTAATATAAAAATAAAGACTGGTGTGATACTATAAATTGACCCCAAAAAATTACCCCAAATATACATATGACACATAATTCTGAGAAAATGTCATAAATGGTGCGTTAAATTGTTGATACCTCACCTGTAATTCTGTGGGCTGTCTGAGGGCGTAGTGGTGTGGATGGGCGTCTTCCTCACTGTCTTCATCACTCAGTGTCAAGTTCCCATAGTCCTCTGACATCTTGCCTGCCTTCACGCCTTCACCGGTAACTAGATGATCCAACTCAGGTAGAAATAAAGACTGTCATGAGTATTAACTGAACTATTAGAGATCAGTTTACACCTGTCTATGCTGTGAATGATAATTAATCCAAACAATTCCGTCATAAATAACAGTAGACAGAAGCGCATCGTCAGCGGGAGCCAAACCCTCTCACACGCTCCCTGGGACGACGTGAACACCATTAAGGACGTACACACATCAGGGAGACAAGGTACTACAAGTTTGGACAATAGAATATTATTATTAAACTTCCAAATACAACTCTTTTAATTCTTATATGTATTTTTTAACAGAGGAACGTAATATAATAAAATTTGTTATTCGTCTACTGAAGCCACATAACGCGTAGAATCTTCAACATAAGGGCCACATTCCTGAACGAAAAATATTGAGAGTACAATGACAGATATGACAGTCACACTCTTCACTCGTGAACATAAGAACATAAGAAAATAAGGAGTCTGCAATAGGCCGGTTGGCCTGTGCATGGCAGCTCCTGTCGAGAGTTACTACCACTCTCTATCATCCATGAATCTATCTAGCCTCCTTTTGAAACTTTCCAGAGTTCCAGCACTTACTACAAAGTTGCTAAGCTTGTTCCACTCGTCCACCACCCTATTTGTGAACCAGTTCCTCCCTATCTCCCCCTAAACCTAAACTTATCTAACTTAAATCCGTTGCTACGAGTCCTTTCCTGCTCGGATATTATAAAAACTATATCAATATCGCCTTTATTGATTCCTTTCACCCACTTAAATATTTCTGTCATATTGTAGTGGATTTCTCCCCTACAAACGCTTGTAGGTATTCGTGATATAATGTTGTCTAGCACTCAGGATGGATGGAAACTCTAAGGTGGTTTTCTCGTATAATATAAGTTATATGCTAGACAGTCTGGTGCTGGAGGTGCCGTGTGGTGAGGAGCTGCTCAGTAGAGACGTTCGGTGAGTAGCGTGTTGAAGGAGGTAGATGTGCAGGAGCTTCGTTAAAGAAGATGTTGCCTGTTGCTGGCCTCCTGGTTGAATGAATGCTGACAGCGTGGAGCTTGCTGGAGGAGGTGTTGCTTGTTCAGGAAGATGGGCAGAATGAGAAAGCTGGTTGGTGAGGAAGCTCAGAGAAGGACAGCTGGTGGGTCGCCATGCTCGCTGGCGGGAGCAAGGACCGCCAGGCAAGCGAGGAGAAGCGAGGGCTGCCAGGCAGCGGCGGAGGAGGAGGTGTTGCTTGTTCAAGAAGATGGTCAGAATCAATCTCACTGGAGAGACAGAGCTTATATACCCAGCAGCCGTGAGTCATCTATGAGTCATGTTGGGAAAACCAGAGAAAGTCGCCGGTCTTTTGGTTCCGTTGCTAGGTTACCGTACCATCTGGTGTCGCCGCTCGCTTGGTTGCTAAGGAAAGCGTCGCAGGTGGGATGCAGCTACGCAGTTTGTAGGGGAGACGTCCACTACACGCTGTTTGTCACTGCGTAGCCGACCCCGGGAATTCCCCAATGTATGCCTCGTGGTCTGGGTCAACCAGCACCGCCATACTTCACGGAGGTCAACTACTAAGCCACGCCTACCCCCCGCTATTTAAGACCTGACCTCGTGGTGATCTCTCTCTTTCTACCTACACCAACCAGCCAGCAACACCTCCTCCTCCTCCTCCGCCTGCCTGGCGGCCCTCGCTCCCGCCGGCGAGCATGGCGACCCACAAGCTGTCCTCCTCTGAGCATCCTCACCAACCAGTTCTCTCTACCCAACGCTTGTAACCATGCTGCCTTCCCAGCACCAAGCTGCATTGTACATCCAATACAACATGTATACAGAGAGCACATTGTGAGTTTCCTTTCTCCATCCCATCCTGAGTGAGAACCAAATATCTCATACCCCACAATATCTCCCCGCACTCTTCGTCTTTCTAGGGAATGCAGGTTTAATTTATTTAACCTATCTTGATATGGAAGGTTTCTAAGTCCCGGAATCATTTTCGTCATTCTTCGCTGCATCGACTCCAGTGAATTGATATCCATTCTATAATAAGGGCACCAGAACTGCTGAACCGCATAATCGAGGTGCGGCCTGACTAGCGCAAGATATAGTTGCAATAAGACCTCTGCACTCTTGTTATTTACACTTCTAGATATAAAACCTAATACTCTGTTTGCCTTATTTCGAGCATCGCACTGTTTTCTAGGCCGTAGGTCCGGGCTTACAAGTACCCCTAAGTCTCTTTCACAAGTCGACCTCTCTAGGTTGATGTTGTTAAGGCTGTATACCAGTGGTTCTTAACCTAGGGGGCGTCAGTAATTTCCAGGGGGGGGGGGCGCAAGCCCTAGAGAAAAAGTAGGAATTATTCTAATTATAATTATAGTTTTTATTCTCTTAACAAGAGCGTGGGCTAATATTGAGAAGTTTATGAAGAAATGCAAAAGTATCTCCTTATAACTTTAGTTTTCTATAGGCTACTTTTTTTACTTAGGGCTTGTAGTGGATTTCTCCCCTACAAACGCTGTTTGTCGCTGAGTAACCGACCCCACGAATTCCCGTGTATGCCTCGTGGTCTAGGTCAACCAGCGCCGCCTTACATGACGGAGGTCAACTACTAAGCCACGCCTACCTCCGCTATTTAAGACCTGACCTCGTCGTGACCACTCTCTCTTCTTCTAGCTACAGCCGCAGCAACCAACACCACCTCCTCCTCCGCCTGCCTGGCGGCCCTCGCTCCCGCCGGCGAGCATGGCGACCCACAAGCTGTCCTCCTCTGAGCACCCTCACCAACCAGCTCTCTCTACATCACGCTTGTAACCACGCTGCCACTTCCCAGCACCAAGCTGCATTGTACATCCAATACAACATGTATACAGAGAGCACATTGTGAGTTTCCTTTCTCCATCCCATCCTGAATGAGAACCCCAAACAACTTGTTCCCCACAAATGGTGACCCCGGAGATTCGCACTCACACAGGATGGAGGAAAAACAGATCACATTCCCAGTCTTCAAGCAACATGGAATACTGGCTTATCCACCCAGAAGCAGCTCTCATCGGCTCTACAGCTACTGTCTCTACACCGCAGGTTAGACACCCTAGAGCAGCTCTGCGACTCTAAGCAGACAGCCGCTCCTCTTCCTGCCCCAAGCACCACGTCCTACCGACCCCAACACACCCGTCCTGCCTCAGACGCCATCCCGGCCCAGCAGTACCCCCTGTCCCTGCTCCTGACGCGGACCCACACACCCCTCTTGTCTCCCTCAGGTACTCCTTGCTACTGTCTTGCACCCTGCTGCTGTCATGGACCCAGCTGCTGTCATGGACCCAGCTGCTGTCACGAGCCCTCATCCGCTTCTGCTGACGCAGCCCCTGCTCCTGACCCAGGCCCATACACCCCAGCAGACGCATCTGACGACTCTGTACCTGCCGTGAGGGAAGCACAACATTCATCGCCTCCACACACCCTCTTTCTCCCTCTCTTCTCCAACAGATCTTGTGTGTCTAGACAGTTGCCTCCACTAGCGGCCGGCTCATCCATGCCCTCGCCGTTCTGCCTCACATGTGCCATGCAACACTGCAAACAACAAGTCTCCTACACCGCCTGGAGGGAAGGAGGAGGGAGTATTGCAGTGGATTTCTCCCCTACAAACGCTGTTTGTCGCTGAGTAGCCGACCCCACGAATTCCCCAGTGTATGCCTCGTGGTCTAGGTCAATCAGCGCCGCCTTACATGACCGAGGTCAACTACTAAGCCACGCCTACCTATTTAAGACCTGACCTCGTCGTGACCACACTCTCTTCTTCTAGCTACAGCCGCAGCAACCAACACCACCTCCTCCGCCGCTGCCTGGCGGTCCTCGCTCCCGCCAGCGAGCATGGCGACCCACAAGCTGTCCTTCTCTGAGCACCCTCACCATCCAGCTCTCTCTACATCACGCTTGTAACCACGCTGCCACTTCCCAGCACCAAGCTGCATTGTACATCCAATACAACGTGTATACAGAGAGCACGGTGTGAGTTTCCTTTCTCCATCTCATCCTGAGTGTGAACCCAAACAACCCGTACCCCACAGGCTTACCATTTTCTGTACTTATTGGCCCCCCTCCCTATCCCTCGAAACCCATGGGGGAGGGGGGTTTAACTCATCCTGGACCTGTATACTGCTCGTTGGTGACTGGTGAGCCCCGTTCTCTCTCAGTCTTCTGCACCCGTCCGTGGTAATAATTCCTCTTCTATAACATTTACTCAGTTAAGGCTGTTGAGGTATGTTTTATCCCAGTTGTTATATTTACCTAAAAATAGTAAGCAGCCATAAGTTTATTGGTGAATTGTAAACAAGCATGTGTTGCTCTGTTGGTTATTCGCAAGTTTTGAATTCCGTTTGTATTTTATCAGAAGTTGGTGGTGCTTAAAATCATGTGGTGGTAACAGGTGGTTATGGTAAAGTTGTATTTATGATGATATTGATTTGTTTCTTAATAATCATGTGTTTATGATCATGATGTGTTTACTATAATGTTGTGGTGTTTGTTAATATTTACTTAATAATTATGTGGTGGTGTTTATGATCATGTAGTGGTGCTTATGATCATGTTGTGATCATTGATGTTTGTTAATGATCATGTGGTGTTTATGATCATGTGATGTTTGTTAATGATATGGTGGTGTTTATGATCATGTATGATTGTAGTCACTTGTAGTGTTTACGAACTTTACGATCATATGTTTGTTATTGATCATGTGGTTGTGATTATCATGATGTTGTGGTGTTCATGAGCACGTGGTGATGTTTATCTTACCTTACACGTGCCTTATGTTTTGTTCATAGATGCAAGGGGAACGTGGAGGGAAGGACCAATTCCTAGAGGGGGCGTGGTAGTAAAAAGGTTAAGAACCACTGCTGTATACATTGACAGTATTTGTTCTTCCAATATTAAGTACGCTGCACTGGCTGGTGTTGAATTTCATTTGCCATTTTCCTGACCACTCCTGCAGTTTATTTAAATCCTCCTGTAGGGCATTAGCATCCTGCCCTGAATTAATCTGCCGCCCTATTTTAGTGTCATCCGCAAACTTGCTTATGTCACTGCTGATCCCAGTATCGAGATTGTGTATGTAGATTATGAACAAGAGTGGGCCCAGTACTGACCCCTGGGGAACCCCACTGGTTACACAGCCCCATTCAGATTTAACACCAT